CCTGGGGACTGGTGCTGGCTTTTTCTTTTATCGTTCATAAGAATGTGGTTGAAGCCCTCTCCCCTCACCTTTGATGGCTTGCATTGCCCTTGACATGTTTTACATGTAAATTAATCAGTTGGAAAACATGGCTGATTTACTGGTGGTGCTTAATAGATGGGAACGTCATTACAATAGTTCATTTGATGAGGGGAGAGAAATGTTCAGTTGTGTATAGAAGAACGCCTGAACATAAAAAAAAAAGTGTGGGTCTTGCCAGCGCTCCCGCATTTATTGCCTTGTCCTATTTGCTCAAATGGCAATGAAGAATCAATCACATTGTTGTGGGTCTGGAGTCATATGTAGGTTAGACCAGGTAAGGCCAACATTGCTCTGTCCCTAAAGAACATTACTGATCCAGATGGATTTTACAATAATCAACAGTGATTACCTTGGTAACCATTAGACTAGCTTTTGATTCCAGATTTTTTTGTAGCATTCAAAATTTCACAGTCTGCCATGGTGAGATTTCAACCCACGTCCCCAGAACATTAACCTGGGCTGTGAACTACCACCAAGTCCCATAACATATATTTTAAAATTGTCTCAACGGATGACTTTCAATAGATCACAACAGGTAGCTGTTCTGCTACACAGAGCCAGAATCAAGTTGTCTATGAATAATTTAGCACTAGGTTCCCAGTGAACATGATGTGCATTAGGAGAGAGATGGCACCCATTATTGCACTGTAGACCTGAATCAAGCAGCACTATGCACTAACCACTGTCAGCCAATCAGTGATTGTGTCGTATTATGTCTAGGAAGGAATGCCATCTCTCAGGTTTCAGTCATTATCCCACAAATGGTAGTCTCCCACTGCCGGCTCCTCAGCCAAGTACACACACCAAATATTTGAACCTATGATTTCACTCATACTGAGCAGGATTACTACTACAGGAACACATCAGTAGGGTAAACCTAACCTGTTCCGTTATGGTATGAACCCAGACCATGTTCCCTACTAATAAGTGCACAATCCAGTGCCTGGTGAATTCTACCACAATGATAGGAGGAGCTGACATCAAAGGAACAATAAAGACATTGTCATGTGATGTGTCCTTGGAGAGCCATTGCTCCGGTCTCATGCCCAAACTACTGGCACCTCATCTCCCAATGGCCACAAACCCAGAAACCCAATCCCAGACAACTCCCATTTTTCTCCCCTCTGATCCTCTATCTGGAGGTCTGGGAGGTGGAGTTCCCACAGCAGTTTCTACTGTAGATTGCTGAGCTTTGGAGATGCCATTCTCTCATTAGCTGGCAGCTCTAGGTGTACCGGGACTACCTACTCCAGCTTCAAAACTCTAGCATAAATCTGCTAGCAGCCAGTCAGCTGCCTGATCGACTTCTGATCAAATGGGCTTTCTGAACAAGACAGGCAGCGAGTTTCTCTCCACAAACTTCTCTGCTTTCAGAGTGAATCCAAAAATAACAAAATTGCATCCTGAGTATGGGGAAAGGAGAAGTAAGACCTGTACTAGGTAAATAAGAGAAAACAACAAGACCCTGCATCAAATGGAAGAGAGGATACTGAGAAATAATGTATCCATGGCACAAAATTTTGAGATAGGATCAAAATGAAGCTGGGAGTACTTGCTATAGAGTTTGGAAATGGGTTGCAAATGCAATCAGAAAAATAGGTCTGCCTGAACACAAAAATATGGTGCTCTGTTAACGTTATTCTTTGGTCAATGCTGCTTGGTGCCACAGGGATCAGTGTTGTGGGCTCAATTATTTACAATCTATATAAATGACTCGGATGAAGGGAGCGATTGTACGGTTGCTAACTTTGCAGATCGATACAAAGTTAGGTAGGAAATAAAGTTGTCTGAAGGATAAAAGGAGTCAGCAAAGAGGTACAGAGCAGCAAAGAGGTTGACTGAGTGGGCAAAAATTTGTCAGATGGAGTATAAAATGTGAACCTGTCCACTTACGCAGAAAGAATAGGAAAATGTCACATTGTCTGAATAGAAAGAGATTTCAGAACTTTGAGGTGCACAGAGATCTAGGTGCACTGGTAGATGAATCACAGTTGGAATGGAGGTACAACAAGTGATTAGGAAGATAAATGGAATGCTGTTATTTATTGCAAAGAAATTGGAATATAAAAATATGGATAATTTGTTACATATGCAAAGAATGTTGATGAGGCCCCATCTACAATACTGTGTGCAGTTTGGTCTCCTTATTTAGGAAGGGCACAAATACATTAGAAGCAGTTCAGAGAAGATTCATCCAACTGATAACTGGCATCGGGGTGGGTTATCTAATGAGAAATGGTTGCACAGACTGGGTGGTAAATAATTCCACATATTCACTACACTCAGAGAAGAAATTCCTCCTCATCACTGTCTTAAATGGGCAACCCCTTATTCTGGGATAATGCCCTCTGACCCTAGATTCTCCCACAATTTCTCAACATCTGTCTTATCAAGGTCCCTCAGAATCTTATATATTTCAACAAGATTGCCTCTTATTCTTCTAAATGCCAATGAGTACAGGCTCAACTTACTCAACCTCTCCTTATAAGAAAATCCCTGCTTGTCCAGGATCAACTAAATAAACTTTCTCTGCACTGCCTCCAATACCAGTATATCTTTCTTTAGATACAGGTACCAAAACTGTTCATAGTATGGTGTGGTCTAACTAGTGCATTCAATTGTTTTAGCGAAGTTTCATTACCTTTATACTCCATTTCCTTCGAAATAAAGGCCAACATTCCATTTGCCCTCACTATTACCTGCTGAATTTGAACGCTATTTGTGGTCTATGTACGAGGATCCCCAGACTCCTTTATTCTGCAGCTTTCTGCCATCTTTCTCTGTTTAAATAAAATTCAGCTCCTTTACTTTTCCTGCTAAAGTGCATAACACCACATTTTCTTACTTTATATTCCACTGTCATGTTTTTGCCCAATTATTAACCTGTCCATATATCTCTATGGACTGTCGTCCTCACTACTTGTGTTCCTACCTATTTTTGTGTCATCAACAAACTAGACCTTTCTCATCCAAGTCACTAATTTATATTGTAAATAATTGTAGATGCCAGCACTGATCCCTGTAGCACTCCACTGGTTGCAGGTTGCCACCCTGAAAATGTCTCCTTTACTCCAACTCTGTGCTTTCTACTTGTTAGCCGATTTTCTATCCATGCTAATACACTAACTCCAAAACCATGGCTCTTACTTTATTACATAGTCCTATATATGGTACCTTATTGAATGCCTTTCGGAAATCCAAATATATTACATCTAATGGTCACTCTTCATCCCTCCTGCATCTTACCTCCTCAAGGAACTGTGATATATTTGTCAGGCATAATTTCTTCTTTATGAAGCCATACTGACTCCGATTAACTGGACTCTGTAATTCTAAATGCTCTGATATTACATCCTTTATAACAGACTCAATCATTTCCCTAATGACAGATGTTAAGCTAAGTGGTGTACAATTATCTGGTTCAGAGATAGTAGGAACTGCAGATGCTGGAGAATCTGAGATAACAAGGTGTAGAGCCGGATGAACACAGCAGGCCAAGCAGCATCAGAGGAGCAGGAAG